AGTCTTCTGTCAGGCTCCCAGTGTTGCTGTTTCATCTGTTTTCTCAGAAACTGGGTTGGGGATAGCTTTCTGGTGAGTCCAGGATGCTCCTGACCCTAGGCAGGATGGGTATTCCCTCCCAGTTAAGTCTAGGTCTCTCAGCTTAAGGACCCTGATGGTTAGCACTTGGTTGCCAGATATCAGGAATTGGCCTGATGGGATAGTTTCTACCTTACTCCTAAAAAGGAAGGTTAACTCTTTGAGAGGATAGAAAGCTTGGGTCTGGGGGCTGGAGAGATGGCTCAGTGGTTAAGAACACTGGTTGTTCTTGCAGAAGACCTGGGTTCGAATCCCAGCACCCACATGGCAGCTAACATGTTGCCGTAACTCCAGTTCCAGGATATCTGACAGCCTCTTCTGTCCTCCGTGGGCATTGCACAACACAACCTACATGCAGGCAATACGCGCATACACATAAAATAAAATAATAAATGAAATGTTTTTAAAGAAAAAGAAAGCTTGGGTCTGAAGAATGGTGCCATCCTTGTACCTCCACTAGCTGTTAAGACACAGGTCACCTGTCTGAACCCCTCTTGTCTCATTTGCTAAGTAGTATAACCAGACACCATCTCTCTTGTTAGGTTTTGTATAGATTAAATAACATAATTCAGACAAAAAGTCGTCAGCCTGACCATAAGCTTGCAGTTGGCCAGTCAGCTGTGGGCAGAGTCACTAGGCAGGCAGTCTGCTGGGTGATGGAGAGTCGGGCCTAACACAGGCACTGCCTGTGAATAGATGTCACTGAGATAAGGACTGTGACAGAGTGCTGAGGGAGTACCTAGGAGGAGCAGCTGGCTGGGGTAGGAGGTGGGGGTGGATGTTTGAACAGTCCTCCAGGATTTACCTGGGTAGACAGAGAAAGGGAATTCCAGTCAAGGAGAGTAGAATGCATAAAATCCTGAAATTACATGATATTCTTGAGAAAATATGATGTGCAGTGAATGGAAAAGGAAGAGAATACATTATTTGGGGTTGAAGTTTCAGGAGTAATAGGAGGAAACATCTGGAAAGGTCCGTAGAGACCCAATAATGGTGGGGCTGAAGAGGGTGTGAAGATCAGTCAGATTTGTGTGTGAGGATATGCACCATCTCATCTATCCTCCAGCACTTCCTTAAGGCAGACACGATACACACTGTCATCTTTCAACATCCGAGAACTCTCGGGCCCTGGAGTTTAAATACGTTGCCAAACGTGTCAGAGCCAGAAAGTGGAGGACCAGGATTCACCTGGCTTCCTGGCTTGGAATAGCTTTCTCCTGGGCACTTTGCCATTGTTAACAAGTCTTCTAGAAAGCTGCCTGCCACTGAGCTGTGGGTGGATGCTGATGGGAGCAATATGAAGCCAATGGCCATTGATACAGTCTCGTTGAAGGAGCTGTGGCCTGTGGTGGTCAGACTCCCAAACGCTGTGCCAGTGCACAGAGAGCAAGAGGCCATGGGGAACTCTGCACACCGAGCTTGGCACTGGCTTGACAAATCCATCTATCACTGTCTTGCTCATGAATTCAGCAGGGCAGCTGAGGCATGATACTGGCATTTGTCAATTGCTGGCTTCTGGAAGCTCTGGTTAGCTCAAGTCCACAATCCCAGGTGGGCCCTGACTGACAGGGGCAGGTGCTTTGTCTCTCTGAATCTTGTAAAATGAAGTATTGTTTAAAAAAAACAAAAACAAAAACAAAAAAACCCGAAGGCAACATGAAGCAGCAGTAGCTTGTAGATCAGGCAAGTCTGCGTTTTAAAGTTCTGCCGCTGTGACCTTGGCTACAGAAGTCGCTGAGTGTGTATGAGCCTCTGGCTCCTTATCTAAAATGAGTAAATCCAAACCTACCTGGAAAGATGGCTTTGATTAAAATGTGCTAACCCTTGGAAGTGCCTGGAGTCCCACCTGGCGCACACAGGTTCCTGGGTTATGGTGGCTCTAATTGTTGTTCTTGGCTGCCATCACACCAGTTGAAGAATATTCTAGAAATAAAAACTAGAAGGAAAAAATGCCCTCTAGACCTACCACTAGGATGCAACGGCTTTGATAACTTAGCTCTCTTTCCTTTAACTCCCCCCCACAGCCCATTTCTAAATAAGCAAGATTTTACTTTCAGTTGGATTTTACAGTCTGGGGGAAGCTGCATTATATTTGTTTTTTCTTATTTTTAATAGACTTTTCCCCGTTATAACAATAGTGTATAAAATTCAGAGAGGAAAGGAAAAGAAAAACCATATTCCTAATGCTAGTCTCAACCCCAAATAAGAGACATTCTGTGAGCATTCTGATGTCTCTCCTTCCTGTCATTTTTGTTCATGTTTTATTATAGAGTTGAGATCACATTATAGATACAATTTTTATGTGATTTTTTTTCCAGTTCACATGATATCCTGAATATTTTCTTATTGTAAGCATCATTTTCCTAGGCTGCTTAATAGTCCATCAAATGGCTCTACCACAATTTACATAAATATTTCCTTACTGCAAGACATCGCAGTCTCCTCTTGTTCATCATTCTAAGCTGCTGCAGACGTAGGAGCCGGCCCCAGTGCAGCCAGGAAGCTTACCATGAACTCAGGCTGCATCTGTGGCCCTGAGTGAGGCACAGTGGGAGACTCTGGTCAATCGCAAACAGCCTCAAAGGAGCTTAGAGACTCAGCTATTTACCAAGAGGGGCTTCTTTGCCTGACTCTGTGAGCAAGTCTTTGTAAATGTATGAAATCCACAGGCAGAAGCCCAGGAGCCCTGGCTATGCTTCCCAGCTCCTAGGCTGCTCGCCAGCCTTCTGGGTGGTTGCCCTCATATCCAGACCTTTCATTTCATTTCCAGGTGGTTTCTACAGGGCAGAGAGGGAGAAATGTCAGGACAGGAGCTTGTGAAAAGTAGGCGTCAGAGGGCTCTAGTCCTTTTTTAAAATTAACAGATACTTAATTGTCATGTGTATTCATCATGTATAACATGAAGTTTTGAAATAAATACACATCATGAAATGGCTATGTTAAGCTAATTGACATATGTATTATCTCACATACTTGTCATTTTGTGATGAGAAAGCTTAAAATCTACTCAGCATTCTTCTTTAGCTTTTTTCCGTTTTCATGTGTGTGTGTGTGGTGTGCAGTGTGTGTGTGGACACACGTGTGCATGTGGAGGCATAAAGTTATATCACAGAAATCATCCTCCATTGCTCTTCCAGCTTATTGAGGCAGGGTCTTCAGTCAAACCCAGAGCTTGCCAATGTGCCTTTTAACTAGCCAGCCCTCGTCTCCATCTTCCATGGCTCGACTTATAGGCAGGCCACCATGCCCACCTACCTGACATTTATGTGGGTTCTGGGGAATCCTAACACACAGAAGCACACTTCCTGGCAAGGGCTGAACTACTTTTACTCAATGTTTTTCAGTAATACAGCATTGTTATTAGAGACATTTGCAAAAATGTAGTTGAATCTGAAGAGCATTATGTTAAGTGAAACAAGCCGGATGCAGGAAGGCAAGCTCGGGCCACATGATCACAGGGAATCACTCCTGTGGATCATAAAAGTTGGCCTCATGCAAGTAGACAGGAGAATGGTGCCTTCGGTGGCTGTTTAGACACATTTAGATACATTTCCCCTCGCCAAGCCTCCGCCCTGTCCTAGAAATATAGCTGTGTCCTCGGCCCTTCCCACATCAGCATCCAGAGAACCTGTGCCCTTCCTCTTGCCTGGAGTGAAAGGGAGCACGCTGGTCAAGGTCTCACATGCTTCTCCAGACTCTAGAGTTCCTCTTAATGAGTACCAGGGGAACCATCTATGCTTTTCCATCTCTGGTCACTTTCTCTCGGCAGCAGTTAGATAATGCAGAGCCTGAAGGGCAAAATGTGTTGTCAGTGGTTGGAAAAACTGGATCCAGAGCTCCCAGCAACCAGCCGACTTCTCTGCATTCAGTGTTCTTTTCTATGTAAGCGGTGCTGGCTTTCATTCTCCTTTTGTCAGATGTTAACTGAGCCCCAGGCGATACACATTTCATGTGTGCAATACAGAGGTGAGATCCAGCTGTGTTCTCGATGCACGTGTCTAGCACAGAGACGGAAGAAATGCTAAAAGACAACAAGATGGCTGATGTGGTATTATGCCCGATACACGGGCAAAATGACTGGAGTGCCGAGTCTGCCTAAAAGCAGTAACCAAGGAGTTCAGTAGGCGCTCTGACATCAAAGAGCAGCAGAGACCTTTTTAGGTAGGCAGTGGGGGAGAGGGCATCCTGGCCAGAGGAACGAGCATGTGCAAAGGCATGAGAGAACTTAGTATGTTCACAGGACTACAGGGAGGCTGTGTGGCTGGAGGGAGGGGGAGGGGAGGGGAGGCGGAGGGAGCAGATCCCTGTTTTCACTGACTTCTCTGCTCATTTTATCGGCCCAGCTGAGAATGATGGTCTTTTTAGTTCAGTGTTATCTTTATTGCCTTAATATCTTTCCATTTTTAAAGCAACATATGCTCATTATAGAAAGTTTGAAGAAAACGCTGGGTGTGGCAGCACGTGCCTGTTATCTCAGCACTTGGGAGGTAGAGGCTGGAGGACCAGGAGCTAAGAGGCCAGCCTGGCTACATGAGACCCTGTCTCAAAATCTAAGTATGTACATAATATATGTATATGTAGTTAACAAATTTTAAAGGAAAAAATTGAAAAATATAAAAGAAAGTAGAAAGAAAAAAAAATCACTGATAGTCTGACTGGCTAAAGACAACTTTTAACATTTCAGTGCATTTCTATTCAGTGTTTTTTTTCATACTGTTTTTTTATGTAGCTGTGAATATGTTATAATTATAGTTTTAACCTTTGTATATGATGCTCCTTTCTATATCTTCCTAAAGTTTGCTAAAAATGGATGTTTGTCTCATAAAAAGCCATGATCACAAAACATACTAGCTGAAATATCTACACAAATATCTATACAAATTTCTGTCTTTAATAGCATGTAGTTTTTCTTTCTTTTATAGGTTTCTTGTGGCTCAGAGCACAACTTGGCAGTAATTGGTAAGTAATTTTTATGCTGATAATTGTTTCTTCTGAAACTCATATAGAATTGCAGATGATTCTTGGGAGCCTGGTGTGGTGGGGCGTGCCTGTAATGCCAGCATGTAGGAAGCTGATCACAAGTTCTGGGCCAGCCTGTGATAAGGAGTGAGACCCTGTCTCAGAATATGAAAAAGACTCTTGGTGTCTTTGTGTGTGTGTGTGTATGTGTGTGTGTGTGTGTGTGTGTGTGTGTGTGTGTGTGTGTTGAGGAAGATTTGGAGAAATGGAAGCTTTTGTTTGACCAAACATTTATTAGAAGACTGTTTTCTGAAAATTTCAATCTGTGTCATTGAGCATCTTTTGAAGATGCCTGATATCCTGGACAGCTTTAGTTGTCAACTTAACACACCTGGGTAGAGGGAGCCTCAATTGGGGAATAGCCTCCGTTGGACTGGCCTATGGTAGTGTCTGTGGGGTGTTGATTGTTGAGTGATGTGGGAGGGCCTAGCCCATTGTAGGTGGTGCCACCCCTGGTCAGGTGATACTGTATTGTATAAAAAAGCAGGCTGAGCATGGACCAGAGGAACAAGGTAGTAAGCAGCATTTCTCCATGGCCTGTGCTCTAGCTCCTGTCTCCAGGCTCCTGCCCTGAGTTCCCACCTTGGGCTCTCTGATGAACTGTGACCTGGAGATGTAAGCTGAATAAACCCTTTCCTCCCCAAGTTGGTAGTGGTCAAAGTGTTTTGTCACAGCAATGGAGAAACAAACTAGAACACCTGAGCTGGCTCCTGCCTCAAACATTTAAGGATCTTAAGTCACAGGCTTAGATACCGCGTATAGACAGGTACGAAAATGAGGCGTGGATCTGACTTCTTCTGATTCTTTAATTCCCCCCCCCGCCCCCATACACCAAGTTCTTTCTTCTTGGTCTGCTCTTTCTTTGGAAATGCAGGGCCTGGCTCACTGTCCTTAGTGCCTTGTATGTAATTGCATGGGGACGTCCACTTGGGAACACACCTGGTTAATCAGTACCTCCTTTTAGTTGACGCTGGATAACCCAAGTTCAAAGTTTTCCTCATTAGACCTTTGAGTAAGTCATTCAATAAAGCTCTCCGTTACTTTCACACGTTGATCCAGTCTCTGCCTCACAGTACAGCCTCTTAAATGCTCTACTCACACCCCTTTGTGCCTAACATGATTCTGGGTATATACGTATATAAAATAGATATGCAACCAAACGTATACTGGTAATAAATCACAAAGACGTTTATTTATTTATTTTTGTTTTTTGTGAGACAGGGTCTCCCTATAGCCCCAGCTGGCCTGGAATTCGCTATGTAGACCAGACTGGCCTTGAACTCACAGAGATCCGCCTGCCTCTGCTGGGATTAAAAGCATACACTATCACACCCGGCTAAAGACATTTATTTTTTTTTAAGACATTTATTTTAAAACTATGCTTTAATATACATGTAATTTTACCATTTCTTAAAGAAGAAAACATATTTGTACACTAATGGGATAGATGTGCGTGTCTATTTTTACATGAAGAATGAAATCTTGGCTGAATATTTGATACTGTAAGGCACAGAACATCCTCAGTGTTGACTTTTCAGACTTGATTATGTGTGTTGATTATGTGTGTGTGCACCCATGCCCCAGTACTGATGTGGAGGTCAGAAGAAAACTTTCAGGAGCTGGTTTTCACCTTCTACCCCGTGTGTTCCAGGGATCAACTGAGGTATCAGGTTTGGCCCCAAGTGCTTCTACTGATTGAGACATCTGGCCAGCCCTGATTGTAGTGATATTTTATCAAGCTCAAATCAGCAAGTTAAACAGCCATTTGTAAAATCAATCACTCTAACATAGCACAATTGAAAGCGACACTACTTTGATACTTATATGTTGAGGAATGACAGTAAGACAATATTAAAAGTCTGTTCTCTTTGTTTCTATAAGGACAGAAAACTTTGTATGGACAGTAAGAGCAGTGTAATTCATGACCTGCAGTAGTGTGGAATTTGTTGTGATGTGATATGGCTTCCTGTGTGGGCAGGGCATGTGCTCAGAACAAGGCTGCAGGCAGTCATGAGATGCAACTCAGGTGAGAACTGCCAGAAACACCTCAGCTTCATTATGCATTTGATTTTTAGTTCATTTTTTATCATTGCCTGTTATAAACCTTCTATGGTTGCCAGCTTTTCCACACCCCTGCATTCAGACAACCCCATGTAGGGTTGGAACCCACAGTACAATCTAGACAAGGTAGTGCCAAAGGGCTCAATTCAGTGCGTGCTTCTACACTGGTGTGAAGTTCGTTTAAAGAAGGAATTTAACTTCTCTGCGCCTCATTTCCCCCATCTCTTCCTGGTAGTAATGTTGGGCTCATAGTGTTTTTATGAAGGTTAAGGGCATGAGCTGCTCCTGCAGAAGACCCAAGTTCAGGTCCCAGCACTCACAACAATCTGTAACCCCAGCTCCAAGTGATCTGACACCCTCTTCTGTCCTCTGCAGGCACTGTACTAATATGTACAAACCCACAAACAGACACACATGTGCATAGAATTAAAAATAAAAAGAAATCATAGAAGAAATTTTAGTTGTGATTATCTGATATGATTAGTTTCCTTTTATGGGCTTTAGTTCTCCTGTCTGTAAATTGGAGGATTTAAAACAGAAAACCAGATGCCCCTCCAGCCGTGGTGTTTAGTGGTCTTCACCCTTTACCCCTGCCTGTTGCTGTTTCTCCCTCCTAGCCTCTGACTTGTAACTTCTAGAAGGAAGGCCTATGTGTTCTCCCATTTCCTGTCTATTCAGAGCTCCCAGAACAGCCCTTGGCTCTAAGCAGAGCCTTAAGCATTCTTGACTTGAGCTAGACCAGTATAGTTCTAGTCAGCCTAGTTCTAAGCACTGTTTGCAGCACCCCTCCCCCCATTGTGTGCGGAGAGGCAGGAGCCTGACAGCAAAGAAGGGAGCCTGTGGGCAGCAGTGCGGAATCAGAATCGGAGGGACTGGACTCAAAGCAAGCTCGAAAATCTAACAGCAAACCTGCCTGCCTTGCGCAGTAACAGATACTTGATTCCAGAATGGCTCCAGCCTGGGTGTAATTAAGATCAGCTAACAGAGAACCAGAGGCTGTACCACAGGGTACATGGCTGCCAGTACCGCCTCCATCAGCTGATGGGCCAGCAGGAACAGAGACCTAAGGGGGCCTCTGTGCGTGAAGCACGTGGTCCAGCCTCAGAAGGCCTGAGCGAGCAGAGCCGCCAGCTGACTGACAGGCAGCACGGGACCTGGAAAGCACAGCAGACAGCATGGTTCACCCCAGCACCATCTCTGCGTAAACTCCCATTTCCCCCTCATCTAGTAACGGCTACTGTTGTACAGATTAGGTGAGATAAAGGACGAGAATTGTCTGGTGTATATCTGTGTCTGATTTACCTTGGCAGAGAAAGTGGAAGAGGAGAATTGTTCCAGTGACATATTCTTGTGTTGGGAGAGAAATGAAAATAGTTTGGGAAAGGAGTGTCTAGTGTTACCTCGTGGAGGCCCTCAGAGTCAGTGCGGGAACAGGATGAACATTTCAGCCTTTGCTATCAGACTTGGTCCTGGGAATGTGGCTTAGTTAGTGGTGGAGCATATGTAAACCTAGTATTCATGAGTCCCTGGGCTTGATCTCCAGTACCACTAAATAAAAAGTAAATAAATGAATAGTAAACCAGATGTGGTGATGCACACCTGTAATCCTAGCACTAAGGTGTTAGGGAAAGAGGAATTTACTGTTTGTTTGAATATACTGCTTGCCTGAATTTATTGCTTAAACTTACTTGTTTAAATTTATTGCTTGTAACCAATTAACTCAACTAGAGACAGGCATCTGAAGATAGAGGCGAAGTGCTAT